GCCCTCTGGAAAGGGTCAGGAAAAAGAAGCACCACCTGATTTGGGGCAATTGAGGAAGATGTTGTTGCCCACATTGGTGCATGGGTGGGTGCGTGCATGTGTTTGCATATATTGAAAGTATTGAGGTGGAGGGAAGTAAAATATGTGGACCCAGTGAGGCAATTTTCCAAGTCACATAACAGCTATGCATCCACGACCCTATAAGTAACAATGATCATCTTCTAAACCCAGCAGAAAATGGGATTTTGGTCTTTGAGGAATTGAGAAGAGGACATAAAATATTTTCCCCAAATATTGTGCATTACAGAGCTTTTTGATTTTTGCTCACCAGTTCAACTTTCCTTTACTTAAAATGTTCTTCTCTTCCTGCCTCTAATCCCTGGCAACCACTGGTCTTTTTATTGTCTGCATAGTTTTCCTCTTCCAGAATGTCCTATCTTGGGTGTCAAACAGAATGCAGCCTTTCCAGATTAGCTTCTTTCACTTTGCAGTATGCATGTAGGGCCCCTGGGTAGCTCAGTGGATTAACCATCTGCCTTCAGCTCAGCTCATCATCCCAGAGTCCTGAGATCGAGTCCCAGGTTGGGGGGGGGGATCTCTGCTCAGCAGGGAGCCTGCTTCTCACTTCCCTCTGCCTGCTGCTCCCCCTGCTTGTGCTTGCTCTCTCTGTCAAATAAACAAATAAAATCTTAAAAAAAAAAAAGAGGAAAATACACCCGTACATTTCCTCCATGTCTTTCCATGGCTTGATAGCTCACTTCTTTTCAGCACTGAATAAGATTCCCTTGTCTGGCTGTACCATAGTTTACTTACCCTTTCTTCTACTGAAGGATGTCTTGGTTGCTTTCATGTTTTGGCAATTATGAATAAAGGTGCTATAAACATTGTGTGTTGATTTCAATTCTTTTTGATAAATACTCAGAAGTGGGATGACTAGATCGTATGGTAGTTCTATTTTATACTTTTTGAAGAACTTCTATACTGTTTTCCATGGTTACAGCATTGTGCATTGCCTCCAACAGTGAACAAGTGTTCCAATCTCTTCACATCCTTGACCACACCTGCATTTTGTGTTTTTGAAAATAGCATTAATTTTTTTTTGAACTTTAAAGTATGCATTGCACCAGGAAATTTATTGTAAATGTAGAGACAAATACATTGAGATAGTCATCATTAAAAAGGAACTAGAAAATTACACATTTAAAGTATTTGCTTTTTTTCTGCCACCTTCAATTTGTGGCTAGTACCAACATTTTATTTTATTTTATTTTATTTTATTTTATTTTAAAACTATTCAAGTTCAATTAATTAACATATAATGTATTATTAGTTTCAGAGGTACAGGTCAGTGATTAATCAGTCTTATATAACACCCAGTGCTCATGACATCATGTGGCTTCTTTGATGTCTGTCACCCAGTTACCCCATCTCTCCACCCCACTCTCCTCCAGCAACCCTCAGTTTGTTTTCTATGATTATGAGTCTCTTATGGTTTGTCTCCCTCTCTGACTTCATCTTGTTTTATCTTTTCCTCTCTTCCCTGATGATTCTCTGCCTTGTTTCTTAAATTCCTCATATCAGTGAGATCATAAGATAATTGTCTTTCTCTGACTATCTTATTTCATTTAGCATAATACCCTCTAGTTCCAACCATGTTGTTGCAAATGGCAAGATTTCAAATTTCTTGATGGTTTTGTAATATTCCATTGTGTATATGGAACAATAGTTTTAAGTTTTGATTCAATTCAATAATTTCTTTTTATCTATTTATTGATTACTGATATATTAGAACTTATTTCTAATGTTTTGGTTTTGCTCCATATGCTTTCACTTCTTCTCTTTTCTTTTTGTTGCACTAATAGAATTTTCTTTTTTTTTTTTTCTGCTGATTTGGGAAAAGTAAAGTACCTTTCTGTGTCATTGACAATATCCTCAAACTGTATGTGTGTGTACATGTGCAAGTGTGTACATTTTTCTATGTCTAATTTTATTCTGTAATATTCTATAATATTCCTTGTATATACCATGGCTTCTCCTTGGGTGTGCTTTTTCTCTTGCTGATTTAGTATATTTAGAAAACCTCAGTGCCTGATTGAAGCAAACTATACACTATCTCTATATCAGGACAGAATTTCAGAAAGAGTTTATCAAATGAGCTGATAAACTCCAGTTTTAATGCACATTAAGAAAAACATAGAAAATGAAAATCTTCCAACACAATAATCAGAACATGAATTCTCTTCATTCTTTTTCAAGCTCTTTGTCCCTGACTTTCCTCCACCTGGAGTAATTTTCACCTGCCAGCCTCAGGGCTTATTCCTTCATTTCCTTCTAGTCTCTGTTCCTAGAAAAACATGTGCTTATATGAGGAATGCTTATAAGGTTTATTGTAGTGTAGTATTTCCTAGGTTAAATAAGTCATATTAGCCTTTAATCAATAGAGGAAAAGATGTATATATGGAAGTATATCTACAATATGGAATGTAATGGAACACAGTATGTATATGGGTTAATATAATAAGACCTACAAGATTTACTATTGAGGTTATAAACAAGAAAGGTATACCCCAAATAAATATTTATATTATAATGAAGTCTAAATAAAATGCTGTGTATTTTCTGTTGATTCAAATCTAGTAAAACATCTGGAAGCATCAACCCCAAATTGTCAAGATGAACAAAGATACAAGGTAATAAGTGATGAGTGGTTCATAATTGAGAGTGGTAGTCAAAAAGGATTTTACTCTACAGGTAATGTTTTATTACTTTTAATAATTCACATATTCACAAATTTTTCCTATTGTTAAAAGTAATGAGAATCATAAAGGCCATCATAAAGGCTTATCTGTGTTCTCCTCCCTTCTTGTCACCAAAAAGGGGAAAGGAGAGATGACCGCCTTTTTCATAACATTATGTCCGTAGACCTAAACTATACGTATTTCTCTGGGGTCACATAGTTTTCAGTTTTCACTTCACTTAGTGTCCTATTCTTTGACTCTATTATAATTACATATATTTTCATCTTCCCCTATAGATGGTAAACTAGTATGTGTTCCTCTTTTGTATATTTTATTTATATATGTATTGTTTTAATTTTAATTCCAGTTAGTTAACATACAATGTTATATTAGTTTCAGGTGTATATATAATGATGCAAAACTTCCACAGATCATCCATGCTTATCAGGAAAAGGGCACTCCTTCATCCCCTCACCTATTGAACCCATCTCCCAACTCTATCCATCTGGTAACCATCAGTTAGTTCTGTTTAAGTGAGTTGTTTAATTGATTTATTTTTGTCTCATTTTTTCCCCCTTGCTTGTTTGGTTTGTTTCTTAAATTCCACTAGAGTGACATCATATGGTAGTTGTCTTTCTCTGACTGACTTATTTCCCTCAGAGTTATATTCTCTAGCTCCATCCATGCCATTGCAAATGGAATAATTTCATTTTTTATGGCTGAATAATATTCTATTACACTTTATATATTCTGAGCATCTAGGAAATTACCCCTTTGTAAAAGCTCAATGAATACTTAGGGATTTCTTTCAAATTCAGGTAAAGAAATAAAATAAATAGCACGAGGTGAAATTTATGAAATTATTTTCTAATCTCAATTTCCATGCAATTCCATTTTAAAATTGGATTTGGTTTTCCTGTAATCCCCATTCAAACTAAGCAGTTATCTTCTTTTCTGGCCATCTGCATTTCCTTCACCAGGAAGATTGGAATGAAAGGGGCTGGGGATTTGTGTCTGCTGAATGGCTTGTTCTAAGTTGTCTTTGCCACCAGCTTTGTTCCTCTAGGGGGCACTCTAGACCTTAGGAGAAACAAAGACTTTGTGGTGGTTGGAAGGTTGAATAGTTACAGAGAACAGAAACCATGTGAGCCAGTCCACTTATAGATAGCAAAGATAGGGAAGAGAGAGGACAGGGTTTTTTGTAAAGACCCTCTCAGGTTTTTCAGTTCTGCCATTGCATATCAACTTCGACATCTGGAGGCCATGTCTCTAGAAATCCATTATGCAGATAATTCTTCACAGGTACCAGGATAGGAATATTTCTGGGCATTGTGAGTATGGAAACTCAACAGAAAATATCCCATTATCTGCTGTCAATTGTTATGAATAAAATCGGCCAAATTTACTGGCCTTGAAACTATTTCAATATCTACATATTCTACCTTTTCATGTATCTCTGCTGAGAGTGGAGGGAAACAAAAATGAAGAGAAGAAAGGAAACAATAAGGAACAAAAAGAAAAGGAAAGGGAGAGGACAATATTGACTTTGGCCAGCAACGTGTGGCTGGTCAGACTGAGCTCTATGGGTGAGCACGGTGTCTAGCAGTTGCACAGGAGAGATGGAGAGGTGGAAATTACATCAGTGAGGACATTAAGCACTACATCCTAATCTTCACTAACCACATCTGGTGGAATCATTTTCTTTACAGATGGTGACTGTCTGACTTGGTTTCTAGAACTCTTTTGATGAATCGTATTTACTTCTGCAATAATGAGTGGATGCTATCAGATAGTTTTCCTTTGTCAGTATTTTTACATAACTGAATGCTCACATTGTCTGTCAAACTATGCAGTTTGGGGAATGGAGTCATTCTTCCCTATGATTCTTCAAGTTCTGGGTAATCCCCAATAGGCTCTGACTCTTCTAGAAGAATCATTCACCTTTGTTCACACACCAACCCACACTTTTCTTACATAAAGTGCTTTAAGAAAAAAAAAAAACACCTTACATCCTCCTATATTGGAAATATTCCTCCTACCTGCCTGCACTGCCCTCAAGCACAGTTTGGGAGAGATTCCTGTGCAGTGTTATTGGGCCACTGTGGGCGGAGTCTCAAGTTCTGTGAATGACAGGGCTGAGGTGTGATTGGTGCTCAGTGATTCTGGTGGGAAGGATTGACTGTAAGAACACAATTCCTCTGGACCCAAGACTACACTCTACACAGTAGGGGTGAAGGCACCTCATTAACTAGACAAGGAATTATGAGGAGACACTGGGGAGCTCTGCTGGGAATCCTGTGGCTCCAGGTTTGCTGTGAGTGGGGACGTTCCAGATGGGGGCTGGGGAGTGGTCCACAACACACAGTGATGGGAGGAGGAGGAGGAGGAGCTGACACTGAGCTCCTAGAGTCCTATATCCTCAGGGGTGTGTCTTAGGATATTTTACACATTTTCAAACTGCATCAGTGACTCTCCAGTGATATCATTTGTATCTGTTTCCTTCTTTCTACACAGGGGTGAGAGGGATGACGGTGGAGCAGAGCCCTTCAGCCCTGAACCTCCAGGAGGGAGCCAGCTATACTCTGAAGTGCAATTTTTCTAGCAGTCCATACAGTGTGCAGTGGTTCCGACAGCATCCCGGGGGCAGCGACCTCACCAGGCTGTTTTATATAACTTCAGGGATGCAGCACAGTGGGAGGTTAAACTGCACAGTGAATACTAAGGAACAGTTCAGCACCCTCCATATCACGGCGTCCCGACTGGAAGACTCAGCCACCTACCTGTGTGCGGTGGAGGCACAGTGCTCCCCAGTGATCTGCAGCCTGCACCCAAACTGCAGCTGTGCCTGCAAGCCCCCGCCCTTCCCTGGAGCTTCCACTGCAGCCATTGCATATTTTCAGATTTATGTAACAGTGTCTTTTCCCTCCTAAAATTAGACCTACCAGTGCTCTCATTTCACTTGCTTTTCTTGCTCTTTTTTTTCCCAAAAAGCTCTTTACAGGTAAAAAACTCTACCATGGAACCCTTGGAGCAAGTGACAGTGATGTCCATATCCAGTACTATGGGAAGATAGAGGTCCTCACCGCTACCACATAAATTAATTATAAATTACTTAAATGGAAAACCCTCAAAAAAAATAGATGGTTATGAACAAACAAAAGACGTGACATAATTTTTAACTTTCCTGTAGGTTATTTTTCAGTGAAATATAAAGAGACCATGTTGAATGTTTTTTCAAGTCTGTATTCAGCTTTTTTTTACTCCTGGAAATAGAAATGTAATAAAATAATTTCTTTGAGGGTCACTCACTCTACTTATCTTATTACATTTATTTTCTTTTTCAGCAAGATAATACCCTATGAATAAGTACTTTCATTTTGTGCATGAATAAAGGGAGGATTTTAGAGCATAAGTGACTTGGTGGAGCTCATATCATTCCAAAGTTGGTGAATCTGAGGTGACACGAATTCTTATCCTCTGAGTACCGATATAGAAGACCCTACAGAATCACAAAATCTCAATGATTTCTATTGATCAATTTGTACGATATGTTGACATCTATCACTGACAGAAGTAACTATTTCAGTCATTTCTGAATAGTACCTTGTGTGGACGAGCACATGGAAATTTTCATTCTGTTCCATGAAAATCATCACTCTCCCTTGCATTTTGAATGAACCTATTTTCATGATATTGTAACATCATTCCCGGTTTGGAAAAGGGAGCAGAAATCCTCCAGGACAACCCTAAAAGAACTCTACTCTGTTGTAGCCATAGACAAAGACTGCTGACCCCAAACCCAGAGTTGAAACTTGCATGTGGAAGATTCCAGCACATACTGAGTTCCAGCGTGCACTGGTTTTTATGTTGAGAAAAGGGCATTGATAGGAAGTCCTGTGCCCCTGAAAATTCAGATAGAGAAAGATGGGCAGACTCACTGAAGCTGGGAGAAAAACCAGCTTCCTGAGCATGGGACCTGTACAACTACATAGCCCCCAACTCTCCCAAAGAACCCTGCCCTTAGTTTGATGTTGTGCCCTCACTGTCTTGAAATCAATACTAATTTTATCTTTGTACCTGTCTTTTAAAAGCTTGTCCCATAAGTGGGGGAACAAGTGCCTGAGTAGAGAGATATGTGGGCAGCAGGACTCAGCAGGAACACATGCAGGCTCAGGTTCTGGATCACAGCAGGCTGTGTGTGAGCTGAGCAGTTGGCATGGCCACCTGTGGTGTGTATGCCTGTTTTGGACTAGCTGGGGCTTTGGTATGCAGCAAAGGGTCTAGTAAATATTGTTGGGAAATTACTACAAATTGAATGTGTATACCTGGACATTTCAAGAAAGCAGTTTGGCAGTTTTTTTTACAGACCTAAACATACTCTTACTACATTGTCCAGCAATGGTCTTCCTTTGTATTTATCCAAAGGATTTGAAAAGTTATGTGTACACACAGACTTGTACACAAATGTTTTATAGGGGTTTTATTCATAATTACCAACCTTGGAAGTAAGCTAACTGTCTTTCAATAAGTGAATGAATAAATAAATTGTGACACATCCAATAATGGAATATGATTTTGTGCCAAAAAGAAATGAGGTATGAAGCCATTAAGAGATAGGGGGAAATTATATGCATTTTACTAAGTAAAAACAACCCATCCGAAAAGGCTATAAGGTACGATTCAGGCTCTATGGCTTTCTGGAAAAGACAAAACTCTGGAAGGAGTAAAAGATTGTTGTTGCCAAGGGTTGAGGGGAACAAGAGGTATCAGTATAGCTCAGAGCATGTTTAATGTAATGACATACTCTCTATGATACTGCAATGGTGGATACATATTTTACACATTTGTTCAAACCCAAAGAACCTACAACAGCAAGAATGAACTCTAGAGAAACTGTGGGCTTTGGGTCTCATGATGTGGCAACATAGGATCTTCCACTGTGAAAAGGTCATGGGGAAGGTGATAATGGGAAGGCCATACCTGTGTGGGGTCAGAAGGTATACAGGATACCTCAGCACGATGTCCTCCTTTTTCTTTGAACCTGGTTGTGATGGTTGAAAAGAAGAAAATCTTTAAAAAATAAATGGGAGACATGAAACTAATATGTATGAAGGGTAAAGCATTTTAGATAAATGATTCCCATAGAAACATTACCTGATGATATATTTTAACCTGGTTTTTGAATTATGTTCCCAAGTTTTCATTTTGAGATGATCTCAAAAATTGTAGAGGCATCCCTGGTTGGAAATTTTGAAACTCTGAACTAAGGATTCAAAGAGAAAGCCAGAATCCATAAAGCAATTAGGCTGTTTTAAAAAGTGCATCTCGCTTTCTATATTAATCAGCTCATCTACCTCCCCTAGGTTGTCTCAACTGCAGAGATTCTTTTTTTCATACAGTACATAAGTTATATGTAAAAGATATTTATAAGAAATTGAAACTCCAAAAGAACTTCCTGCTTACCCATGGCTCAGGTCATAGTGTACCCTCATCTCAGTGCCTGTAAAAGACTCAGTGAATAAATTCCCATTTTATTCAATGTTAATTTGGATTTATTTCTCCTTGATACATTAGTGATCTCAGAGAAGAAAAGAAAACCCAGATAGTGATCTCAGAGAAGAAACGAAAACCCAGGTAGGATCTCATCTCATCTCATCCTGCTGAAGAGGCCTCATGGTGAGTTAGAATCAACCTCAGACCCACTAGATCACATGTGGTTATGAAAATGGCCCTGGGGTTCCATGATGCACACAATTTCACTCAATCTGACACCAGTCCACATTGCATACAACCAGTCATCAATAAATATTTACTTCGTAATATAGCATAGAAAAAATTAAGAGCTAGAAGTGCCCTTAGAATTCCTTGAGTCCAAGTTCATTTTACACATCTTGACTATTTCCAAGATGACTGTATGGAAAAATTAGGTAGTGAATGAGCTGGAGGAGAAAGACACTGGGTTTCCTAATTTCCTCTTTAGCATTTGTTCCCCTGACTCCTTCCTGTAGGACCATCGTGCTGAGTAAAGAGAAAGTGTCTAATGCAATCCCAGGCATTTATCTCTGTGGTTTGGGTCTGAGAAAGTTGTGGTCCAATCAGTTTGAAATCCTGAATGGAGAGTTCTAATTTGTGTAAATGTCTGAGACCTTGGGCAGGAAGGGAGACTCAGGCTGAGCCACTGTGATTTTACCAGCAAACTCATGCATCACTCACTGTTTTTATAAGAGTAAGCCAAAGGTGATGGCACCAGGTGAACACCTACAAGTATTTCTAAGTGCTTTCCTTAAAAAAAAACCAAATATATTTAATATGCCAGTTGGGCATCCCTTGAAGGCATGATGAGCATAATGTGCATAACTCACACATTGTCTGCAAAAAAGATCACTGGAATTGGAAGACTTGCAGAACTGGCAGTCCATGAAGATGGTAGATGAAGGTTTTCTAGACCAACACTAGGATCATACTAAACCAAAGGCCGATGAAATAATCAAGGATCTGGAAAATTTGCACAAGAGATGGCCTTATCTGTGCAATAGTTAATAAATGGAAAAGTATTATTATAGATAATGGTCATATTCAGACCTTTACATTCAGTTCTAATAGTCACGCCTAAAAAGTGCAAATATTGACCTAAATAATCTCTGTTGGAGAAGAGGGAAATTTACCCGGAGAAGTGTGAGAATTCTTACTTTATGGAGAATGGGTGAAAGAATGGAAGATTCTCAGAACCAAGAAGTTTTCCATACATAAAAACACATTTCATATATACACACATATTAATATATTGAGTTGATGTTCTGATAGCTGTCTTTAAATCTTTCAGGGTAGAACAGGTAGAAGGAAGATGAGTTCTATTCTTTGTCATTTGAGAGGCTCCATGAGTAGGAATCACAGGAAAGGGGATTCCATTTTTGGAAATGAGGTAGTCTTGGTTTCTCAGAGACCATTTCTCTTGATCAGTTCTTTAGGACCAGTTTCCTGTTGGTACCATCCCCCAGCACACACAATATTTATGGTTTCCTGGATTTTTTCTCATAGAGGTCATCAGAAGATTCCAAGAAATTCATATGAATGAGAAAGGGGTTTTGGAAGAGAGAGATAATTCTGGAAACTCACAGGAGTGGAGAACTTTATTAATGAGTCCTGAGGAAAGAACACTGTAGTGGAGTTTAGGAGAAATATAATGGAGTATGGAATGTGGAGCAGTGTTGACCAGGAAGTGAGAAGCATGACAAGATGGATGGCTAATACTTTAGCAGAAATTCTCCTTAGGCTGTGAGTCAGTAATTGCATTGGAGGACATGCCGTGTATTTTGATTTGAGAATTGAAAAGGAAATCACCTCAAGGATAAACTTACATGTGGTTATATTTTCTGAGTTTGCAGCTTGATATTTTCTCAGAATTTCTACTGAGATTCTACTAAATCTACTGTCAGATTTCTCTATACAAATTAGTGCAATATTAGGTCAAAGAGTTTCCTATAGTTGAAAAAGTAATAACAGATGCAAGTTATCCCTGCTCCCTTATCATTTAGATTTGGTCCTTTACTTTTTGTCATAGTCATCTTAACTGAAGGGATAATCCCCGTTTTGAATGTTAGTACTGTCATTCCTTTGGAAAAAACAAGGTCAGGCAACACTAACCAGGAGGAGCAGAGCTGAGATCAGAGGCATTTGAAATATCAAATGATCTTCTCTCTTACTGTAATCTTTGGTTACATTTTCCTTTTACAAAAGGGTTTTCTGTGTAATAGACAATTGAGGATGGTAGATTTGGTAGAATAGAAAGGAAGTAAATCATGATTTCTTCCTGATTTCAAACATGTACACCAGGGCCATCACTGAATAAATAGCAATAGCATCTACCTCTTTCCAAGTTACTAACAGTGACTCAGTAGTGTGCAGGCATG